GCCGGGCCGGGCCCTGACGTCTCGCTCTCCCCCCGCCGCAGCCTCGGGGAGGTGAGGGCGGTGCTGAGCCAGGCGAGGGCGCAGGGGCTGGAGGTGGTGCCGCTGGTGCAGACCTTCGGGCACATGGAGGTGAGGACCGGGCGGGCGGGCGGCGTCGCGCCTTCGAGGCCTGGGAGCGCTGGGGTGGGCGAGCGGGGGCGAGGGAGTGGGGGTGGCTTTGTTGGGAACCCCCTCTCCGGTAAGGGCCAGTGCTCGGGTTATCCGGCTCCCCGCCGGCCGCACGCTTTGGAGACCAGGGTGACGCTGCGCCGAGCGCCCTGTTTTCCTCGCCCCGTGAGGCGCTTCGTGGTCGGAGACCCCCTGCGGCACCGCGGAGCAGCAGCCGTGCCCCTCCTGGTCTCCTGCTGGCCTCTGTGCGCTCACACGCAGCTAAAACCGGGGTTTTAGCAGGAGAACTGTTAGCAGAGCCCAGGTGACGCGGGAGGATGCTGCCGTCCCCTTCATTTCGCGGTTGTTCCCCAAGATCTCTTTTCTCTTGCAGTTTGTGCTGAAGCACAAAGAATTTGCTCATCTCCGGGAGGTGGAGGTGTTTCCCAACGCCCTCAACCCACACAAGGAGGAGTCGAGGGCACTGGTCAAAGCCATGATAGACCAGGTCATGGCACAGCACGAAGATTTAAAATGGTTTCACATCGGATGTGATGAGGTGGGACTTCTCTTGAGCCAGGAGGGTTTTTTTTCTTGTGAGAAATTATGGTAAGGGCCGAGGCTTCTGCATTTCAGTGGTGCCCAGGCCATGTTCCAGTAGGATTTTAGGGACAGAACACAACAACGCAAGCCACCGTAGACAAGACTTTTTGACACTAAATTATTCCAGTAGCACAGGATGTCATTTCTATTGATCTGAGTGTAGTATTGAAAGTATTGAAAGCAGTTTCCTAAAGCTAACTCAGCATTTGGTTTTAGGTCAAACGAGTATTAAAAGTTGGATGTCAATTGGAGGTATTAATTAAGAATCACGTGAGTTTGGATGTAAGATGTTGGCTCGTTGTTCTGGCCAACTTACTCAAGAGTAAGCTCTTTTGTGGTAGGAAGTGTTGGGTTTTTTTATCTTATCATAAAATCATAGAATGGTTTGGGTTGGAGGGGACCTTAAAGATCATCTGGTTCCAACCCCCCTGCCATGGGCAGGGACACCTTCCACTAGACCAGGTTGCTCAAAGCCCCATCCAGCCTGGCCTTGAACACTGCCAGGGATGGGGCATCCACAACTTCTCCAGGCAGCCTGTTCCAGTGCCTCACCACCCTCACAGTGAAGAACGTCTTCCTTATATCTAATCTAAATCTACCCTCTTTCAGTTTAAAGCCATTACCCCTTGTCCTATCACTACATGCCCTTGTAAAAAGTCCCTCTCCAGCTTTCTTGTAGGCCCCCTTTAGGTACTGGAAGGCTGCTGTAAGGTCTCCCTGGAGCCTTCTCTTCTCCAGGCTGACAAACTTGGTAGTTTGTCTCCTTGAGGAGGAGAAACTTGAGTGTTCTCCTTTCTCAGAGTTTGTTAAAACCACCCCTACGGCATGCAGATCCCTGAAATTCATTGCGGTCACTTTAACTGTACTGATATTAGTTTAGCATTTTGTATCCTGTTGTGTGAGAACTAATGGCAAGGTTAGATAGGGAGCTGCAAGCTTTTATAAAGCAAAATGCTATTTATGTGGAATGAACATGTTTTAGATAAAACCTGCTCTAAAACAGCAAAGAGTTTAAATGCATATCCAGCTTAACAGGCCCAGATCCACTCTCTGCATAGGACCAAGTATGCTGGGGCCGCTCTTGGACGTGCCCCCAAGTCACTTCTAGATTCACGTACAGATGATCTCCTTCCCCAAGACAGGAACCTCATCTTATATAATTCAGGACTTTGTGGGTTGCTAGATCTGAACTGAGTAAAACTGGTGAGAGCTAATTCTGAAGACAAACCTTCCAAAGACAAATACAGCATGCTTTAATTATTCTTTAAATATTTTAGTTTCTACAGGAAAATTCCCTTATGTAATGTATTTTGGTAGTCATGGCCACAGTCTCCTGCAGACTGATGGAAATGCTTGCAGTGTCTTCAACGCTGAGAGGTGCTTTTAAATATGTCCACTCAGTGTGTCACATCTGTGCAGTAGGTTTTGAATATTGTATGATTTCGTGATACTACGCCAAACTCGTTCCCCCTGCTCCGGTACAAGAAGTCAGGATTATTCGCTTGATGTTTCAGGTCTACTACCTTGGCGAAGGAGAGGAGTCAAAGCAGTGGCTGCAGCAACAGGACAACACTCCAGAGAAGCTGTGCTTATCCCACATAAAAGCAGTTGCAAGTTGTGTGGTCTCATCTTACCCCACTGTAACACCCATTGTGTGGGATGATATGCTCAGAGGGATAAGTGAGGAAACATTGGCAGGTGTGTGACCACTGATGGGGTGAGTTATATTTTGTAGCGTACAAAAAAGTTTACACAACCAGTTAAACCAGATTTGTTGGCAGATGAAAATAATGAAAACGAGAAATCTGAGAATAGCTGAGATATGATCCATTAGACTAGAGAGTAGAGACATTTAGTCCTTGGCTATGTCACAGACTTTCTGTATGACTGTGGGCAAGTTTCAACACATACACTTTAGTTTTCCATCTGGTAATACGCAGTGACAAACAAAACAGTCATCATGCAGTGGTTGCCATCAATTGTACTTTCTTTACACGTAAAAAAAAAAAAAACCAAACCCAAACCTATTAGCATTTGTGGTCTCAGTCTAAATTTCAATGCCTCTTACCACCTTCTAATGTTAGCTGTTGCTCTGCACAGCATCTGGTTCCAGTGGTGCAGGCTCACACGGGGAAGCTGTGATCCTGTGAGCATCTTCGACAGTATATGTGATCATAGTGCACATTGTGAAGAACTCTGATACTGAATTGCAGGGTAGCTCCAAGACCTTGATGTCACAAGTCTTGTTTGTTGAATACTATGAAACCATTGCTAAAGTTTGAGTAGTCTTAGCATAGACAGAGTTCCAGCATTTTCATAGCCACTTATGTGTCTGCTCTGAACAGATTTAGACAATGCTATGAAGAGCTGTGTAGCTCCTCCAGCAGTGACTGACCTATTTGTGGGTTTAATAGTGGGAAATCATCCAAAAAAAAATGCAGATGGGACCCATGCAGTTTCCACAAGAGCAGCACAGCATTTAGCTAAGTGCGCTCTACTGCCACAGGCAATAACAGACTAAACAAATTAAAATGGGATGCTGTTAAAATACTGAATTTCTGTACAATTTACTGCAGTTTCTCTAGGGGTCGGTTTCTCGTATTTAAAACTAGTCAGGGTGTTGGGATTTGAAGGGGATTTGAAGCTAAACCTATATCTTTATTTGTACTTTAAAGGCATCTTGAAAAGCTAAGTTCTGTGCATACACAGCTCAGACAATCTCTGACTTAGAGGGTGAATGTTTCCTTCAAATTTAGCTGAAATCTTGTGCGTGCAGTTTGCCGCTCCACCGGTTCAACCCAGCAGGTATACCGATAGATGCAAGGGACTAAGAACGAGATGGGCTTGGGGTGAATGGGATCTCTGATGAATTGTCACTGCTGATCCATATTAGTGGTTTCATGATGTCTAAGGACTTAGTGGCTCCTGGCATGTGACCCTGCATGTTCAAAGCCCTGGCCAGGCTGAAAATGCCCAGGTGCACTTCAACTGTAAATAAAGAATTCTAGTGACAAGCCATAGTTAGTTGTAGTCACGTGCTACTGCACCAGTAATATGTACTTAGTTCTCACTTTTAACTGTCTGTTTTCCATTACTTAGACGACCTCTGTTCCTTTCAGAGTCTGGGGTCCCACAGCTTGTGCAGCCAATGATCTGGGACTATGCAGCAGACCTCGATGTGGAGGGCAAAGGTTTGTACTTCTCTGCTGAGCTGCTTAGAAGCAAAGAGCTCTGTTACCTGTTAAGCAAAATAGCCAAAACAAAATGGTATCATTAAAACATACCTTAGCTGGACGCCAAAAACTTCTGGTTTTGTTAAACTGCTTTTTATTGCTTTAGTAGCATAAACATAGCCCTTGTTTGATTTCACATAATAGTTGCTATTTTCTTTTTCTATTTATGTTTCTCCTGTGAAGGACTTGCATTGTCTGCTGCTCAATTCTTTTCAATAGGGCTGTGGAATCACTGATGGGAAATTGAGAGGTTTTTCACAAGCACTGTTACATTAACTGTCGTTGCATTATAAACCAGTGGGAGCAGGTAGCTGTGTATTGACAGCTCTGCAAAAGAAGCTTCAAGGCTTCATACATCTAGAATTCAGAGGAAAAACTCCTAAAGGCTCCAATCATGCATTTAACATGCATGCAAATATTCCTTTGTTGAAAGAAGAATCTGATGATGTGCATGCTTGCTACATGCCCATGGTTCTTAGCATTGAAGCAATTTAGCAATTCAAGGGAATGGAATATAGTAACTGGGCACATGAAAATAGGAGGGCAGTCACCAAAACTGGTTGCTCGGAGAGGATGTGAAATCTCCCATCCTTGCTGATGATCAGAATTTGACAGGACAAAGCTCAGCAGCCTGTTGTAACTGGACCTGGGTTCCTCTTAATTGTAGCATGACAGTCAAGGC